TTCTTGTAGAATCCAGAAAGATATAAGTTTATTTTAAATGCAGAGTTTGAGAAAGATTATGTACGGCTAAAATGAAAATAAAATTTTGTTTTAATGTCAGAAGTGGGATTCGTACCAACGCCCACAAGAGTGGACTTCGACCGGAAAGCAGCGCCTTTGACCGCTCGGCCATCCTGACTTCTTGTAGAATCCAGAAACATATAAGATCATTTTAAATGCTGAGTTTGGGAAAGATTATGTACGGCTAGAAATTAGAAGGAAAACAAAATTTCACATTCATGTCAGAAGTGGGATTCGAACCCACGCCCACAAGAATGGACTGCGACCTGAACGCAGCTCCTTAGATCGCTCGTATATCCTGACTTCTTGTAGAATCCAGAAATATATAAGTTTATTTTAAATGCAGAGTTTGAGAAAGATTATGTACGGCGAGAAATTAGGAGGAAAACAAAATTTCAGATTTATGTTAGAAGTGGGATTCGAACCCACGCCCACAAGGGTGGACTGCGACCTGAACGCAGCGCCATAGACCGCTCGGACATCCTGACTTCTTGCAGAATCAAGAAACATATAAGTTTATTTCAAATTAAGAGTTTGAGAAAGATTATGTACGGCTAGAAATTAGAAGGAAAACAAAATTTCAGATTCATGTCATAAGTGGGATTCGAACCCACGCCCACAAGAGAGGACTGCAACCTGAACTCAGCGTCTTCGACCGCTCGGCCGTTCTGACATGTTTAAGAGTCATGTAACAGATAAGTTTATTTAAATGGAGAGTTTGAGAAAGATTATGCACGGCTGGAAATTAGAATTTCATATTCATGTCAGAAGAGGGATTTGAACCCACGCCCACAAGAGTGGACTTCGACCGGAAAGCAGCGCCTTTGACCGCTCGGCCATCCTGACTTCTTGTAGAATCCAGAAAGATATAAGTTTATTTTAAATGCAGAGTTTGAGAAAGATTATGTACGGCTAGAAATTAGAAGGAAATAAAATTTCCACATTTGCATCAGAAGGGGATTCGAACCCGACAAGGAGTGGACTGGTAGCCTGAATGCAGCGCAGAATTGCCTCGTATCTATTCTTGCAGATATCAAGAAACATGATATATTTTAAATGATTGAGGACGTTAAAAACGAAAAAGGAAAAAAAATTCTTATCAGAAAGTGGGAGAACCAAAAAAAAAAAAAAAAAAAAAAAAAAAAAAAAAAAAAAAAACCCACAAGAGACCACTAAACGCTAATTTCATACACTGTAGAACCAGAAAGAAAATTATAAAGATATAGATTATACGTTAGCACTAGAAGTGAAAAAACAAATTCTATTCATCAGAAGTGGTATAACCTACGATACAAATGGACTGTCGACGAAGTCATATGGATCGCTCGGTATCGACTTACAGTAGAATAGAACTCGGTTATTTTAAATCACAGAGTTGGGAAAAGATTATGTACGGATAAATGAAAATAAAATTTCTGTTTAACAGAAGTGGGAGTTCTGAACGCCACGTTCGTGAAACGCATGGACCATCAACTGACTTCTTTGGAATCAGAAATCTATAAGATCATTTAAATGCTGAGTTTGAAGAAGATTATGATACTAATTAGAAGGAAAATCAAAATTTCATTCATGTCAGAGTGGATTCGAACCCGCCCACAAGAGTGGACTGCGACCTGAACAGCGCCTTAGACTCGCCTTCCTGTCTTTTAGACCAAGAAAGATAGTTTATTTTAAATGCAGAGTTTCGAGAAAGATTAATGTACGGCTAAATTTGAAGGAAAAAAATTTCATATTCATATGAAGTGGGATTCGACCACATACAAGAGATTGCTCGACCTGAACGCAGCGCCTTAGACGCTCGATATCCTGACTTCTTGTAGAATCCAGAAAGATATAATTTATTTAAAATGCAGGTTTGAGAAAGATTATGTACGGCTGAAAATGAAAATAAAATTTTGTTTTAATGTCAGAATGGGATTCATACCAACGCCCACAAGAGTGGATTTCGACGAAAGCAGCATGCACGACGTCGCCATCCTGACTTCTTGTAGAATCAAGAAAATATAGATATTTTAAATGCTGTGAGAAAGATTATACGGCTAGAATAGAAGGAAAACAAAACATTCAGTCATCAGAAGTGGATTCGAACCCACGCCCACAAGAGTGGACGACCTGAACGCAGCGCCTTAGACCGTATTCCTGACTTCTTGTAGAATCAGAAACGATATAAGTTTATTTAAATGCATTTGAGAAAGATTATTACAATAAAATGAAAATAAAATTTCATTTTTATGATTATTCGAACCCCGCCACAAGAGTGACTGCACGACACAGACAGCGCCTTGGCATACCATCCTGACTTCGTAGAATCAGAAACATATAAGTTTATTTAAATGCAGAGTTTGAGAAAGATTATGACGCTAGAAATTAGAAGGAAAACAAAATTTCTAGTTCATGTCAGAAGTGGGATTCAGACCCACACAGAGTGCGTTACCGAACGCAGCGCCTTGAGAGCTCGGCTTCCTGATCTTTTAATCCAGAAGATAAATTATTTTAAATGCAGAGTTTGAAAGATATGTAAGGCTGAAAAGAGAAAATAAAATTTCATTTATGTCAGAAGTGGAGTTCAGACACAACAAGAGATGGACTGGACCTGAAGCAGCGCCTTAGACCGCTCGGATATCCTGACCTTGAGAATCCAGAAAGATATAAGTTTATTTAAATGCAGAGTTTGAGAAAGATTATGCGGCTAAAATGAAAATAAAATTTTGTTTAATGTCAGAAGTGGATTCGACCACGCCCACAAGTAGATTTCGACCGGAAAGCAGCGCCTTGACCTCGCCATCCTGACTTCTTAGAATCCAGAAATATAAGATATTTTAAATGCTGAGTTTAATGACTGCTAGAAATTAGAAGGAAAACAAAATTTCACATTCATGTCAGAAGTGGGATTCAACGCCCACAAGAGTGGACTGCATGAACGCAGCGCCTTAGACCGCTCGACCATCCTGACTTCTTGCAGATCAAGAAACATATAAGATATATTTTAAATGCAGTGTTTCAGAAAATTATGTACGGCTGAATTTGAAGGAAAATAAAATTTCATATTCATGTCAGAAGTGGGATTCGATCCAACAAGAGTGGACTTACTGAAATCCCTGAACATAGCTGCTCAGGGAAGAAAAGATATGTGAAAATAGAAAGGAAGAAAATAAAATTTCATATTATGTCAGGGGATTCGAGACCCAACAAGAGTGGACACACGACTGAACGCAGCGCCTTAGACCGCTCCAGCCATCTGACTTCTGCAGAATCAAGAAACATATAAATTATTTTTAAATGCAGTGTTTCAGAAAGATTATGTAAAGCAATA